GAGCTTCTGACTGTCTCTCGCTCTTCTTCCTACGATTTTATCCATTAGAATCTCTACCAACCTTCTCTCAGATATTATCAATCAGGATCTCTACCAACCTTCCCTGAGACGTTATCCATCAGAATCTCTACCAACTTTCCTCACATGTTATGCATTAAAATTTCTGCCAACCTTCCTCCAAATGTTATCAATTAGGATATCTGCCAACCTTCCCTCAGATGTTATCTATCAGAATCTCTGCCAACCTTTCCTCAGATGTTATCCATCAGAATCTCTGTCAACCTTCCTCCAAATGTTATCCATCAGAATCTCTACCAACCTTCCCTCAAATGTTATCCATCAGAATCTATAACAACCTTCCCTCAGATATTATCCATCAGCATCTCTACCTACTTTCCCTCACATGTTATCCATCAGAATCTCTACCAACCTTCTCTCAGATGTTCCATCAGAATCTCTACCAACCCTTCCCTCAGATGTTATTCATCAGGATCTCTGCCAAACTTCCCTCAGATGCTATTATTATATGCTCATAAGGAGTGCATCTTTGTTTCCTACATATTTCCACAATTGTCTTTGCATGTTCCAATACTTGTTCGTTAGTTTTCTTTTTACGTTGCTGATAGTCATCATAACGCTAAATTTCAAGAGATTACAACAGGCAGCACAGCAACGTAAATAACTCACGCAGGAGTTTAGTTCTGAGTGATTAGTATGTGTCGTAAAAACACTTAACCTTCAGCACAATAACTTTGATTGTTTTTAGGAAGTGTCATTTATGAAGCGTTTTACAAGTAATATAACTTTCCATTATTGGTTTTACTAACCAGTTATAAGTTTAGAAAAGTAATCGGTGTGGGAAATATTTTATATAAAAAAAAATGTATTGAAACGGCTGGAACAAGTTTATCTCTCCCAAATCACGTTTTAGCAACACCAAAAGTGAAGTGTCCTGGATTTGTGCTCCCATTTTCACTATTAAGTCGAATCTGGTTGTGCGGCCCATTTCCCCACTTAGTCTGCTCTGTGAGGTGTGCATACTAATCATACCTGTACAGAAACATGTGCTCTTACAGGCAGCAGAAGGATAGGACATGAAAGGGAAAGGACCGGTAACACCACGTGGAAAAACATGTCAAGTTTTGTTTAATACTAGATTATACCAAAACGAAGTTCCATTCATACATACATCCATATATATAATAATATTTAGAAAAAATGCATATATCTATTGGTGGAAAGACAAGGATACCAATAGAGCATGACTAACTACAACCCAATTTGAATTGTAATGATAATACTAATTTACACGTGTATTAATAAGAAAGGTCATTGTAATTAATGTACACAGATTTGAAATACTAAAACTTCATTTTATTAATTTCGGTTCAAAAAAGTAAATAAATAAATAAAAACACACACACACATATTGGAATGTAATATTGTCTCTATCTTTTATTGGTTTTATGATAATCAGTATGGTTCGTCTAAAATCTAAGCTATAAAGCTATTTAAGATCGAAAATAGTATGACATTTTTATGTTAATGTACAAAAATTGCAAGAATAATTACCCAAAATTATAATGTTATGTGAGTAACAAACATAGAATTTTAACTAGAGATGCAGGCTCATATTAAGGATATCGATGAACTTGTCTTTCCAATGTTTTGTTCAATTTCTTTTTTCAAGCATGAAGAACAGTATAACTATCTATAAAGAACATCTTTTTTACAACTGTTCCATATAAAGAACATCTTTCTTACAACTGTTCTATATAAAGAACATCTTTTTTACAACTGTTCCATATAAAGAACATCTTTCTTACAACTGTTCCATATAAAGAACATCTTTCTATGGCTGTTCCATATAAAGAACATCTTTCTATGGCTGTTCCATATAAAGAACATCTTTCTTACAACTGTTCCATATAAAGAACATCTTTCTTACAACTGTTCCATATAAAGAACATCTTTCTATGGCTGTTCCATATAAAGAACATCTTTCTATGGCTGTTCCATATAAAGAACATCTTTCTTACAACTGTTCCATATAAAGAACATCTTTCTTATAACTGTTCCATATAAAGAACATCTTTCTTACAACTGTTCCATATAAAGAACATCTTTCTTACAACTGTTCCATATAAAGAACATCTTTCTTATAACTGTTCCATATAAAGAACATCTTTCTTAGAACTGTTCCATATGAATAACACCTTCCAATGACTGTTCACCTCAAAGAACAATTTCCAGTAATTTTTCCTGTACAAAATGCCTTCCTGTGACTATTCCCTATAAATAATACCTTCCAATTACTGTTCACCATAAAGAACACCTTCCAGAAATTGTTTCTATGCAGAATGATTTCCTATGACTGTTCCTTATAAAGAACACCTTCCTGTGACTGTTCCCTATAAAGAACACCTTTCTGCATCTGTTTCCTACTAAGAATGCCTTCCTATGACTATTCCCTATAAAGAACAACTTCCTGTGACTGTTCCCTATAAAGAACACCTTTCTGTGACTGTTTTCTATTAAGAACACTTTCCTATAACTATTCCCTATAAAGAACACCTTCCTGTGACTATTCCCTATAAAGAACACCTTTCTGCACCTGTTTCCTATTAAGAATGCCTTCCTATGACTAATCCTTATAAAGAACACCTTCCTGTAACTATTCTCTATTAAGAACACCTTCCTGTAACTATTCCATATTAAGAACACCTTCCTGTAACTATTCCATATTAAGAATGCCTTCCTATGACTATTCCCTATAAAGAACACCTTCCTGTGACTATTCTCTATAAAGAACACTTTCCTGAGATTGTTCAAAATACAAAATTGTAACTATAATGAAAAACATTGTTCTAGTTTTCTATATTTTTTACTACATCTGTTCTACAACTATGAACTGGCTAAGTACCATCCACTAAGTATATCCCGTCAACACACATCTTGCAAACAACTGTACTATATCTTCTAACAACATATGACATCAGCTATCCATGGTTCTGTACACACCTTGGAAACAATCAGTCATATCTTCTAACAACATATGACATCAGCTATCCATGGTTCTGTACACACCTTGGAAACAATCAGTCATATCTTCTAACAACATATGACATCAGCTATCCATGGTTCTGTATGAACCTTGGAAACAATCAAGCATATCTTCTAACAACATATGACATCAACTATCCATGGTTCTGTATGAACCTTGGAAACAATCAGTTATATCTTTTAAATACATGTGACATAAACTATCCATGGTTCTGTACAAACCTTGGAAACAACCAGTCATATCTTTTAAATACATGTGACATAAACTATCCATTGTTCTGTACAAACCTTGGAAACAATCAGTCATATCTTTTAAATACATGTGACATAAACTATCCCAAGTCTATAAAAACCTTGGAAACAATCAGTCATATCTTTTAAATACATGTGACATAAACTATCCCAAGTCTATAAAAATCTTGGAAACAGTTGTATTACACCTTCTGAAAACATATGACAATTTACCTATTTGACTAGGCTGGCTCAAACATTATATTTCCAAATGTTTCCAGTATAAAATCATAGGTGTGGAATAAGTGTGGTACAACTTGTCTACACCACAGACATTCATCTGTTCTGGCATAATTTGGCCTCATTATGAAACTAGTCAGGTTAGTTGACTTAGAAAATAATTACAACCATGTCTATTCTATTCCCACATGAAATACCGTATTTTATTAGCTTCCTTCTGATGGTATTCTGATTAAGTGTTGCTTTGAGCATGATTTTTTAAAACTCTTACAAAATACAATATAGAACTAAGAATCAAAGAGAAATAAATGTGCAACTGTTTTACATGCTAAGGTTTAGAAGACAACTCTTCGGAACGACAGTCAACCTAAGGTTTAGAAGGTCACTCAAGAAAGATAAATGATATTAGGGAACACCAAAAAGACAATTGTTTTACATGCTAAAGTTTAGAATACAGCTCTTCGGAACGACAGTCAACCTAAGGTTTAGAAGGTTCACTCAAGCTGTATTCTAAACCCTAGCATAGGGAACACAAAAAAAACACAGCTGTTTTACAATAGCGTTTTTCTTTCTTGAGTGACCTTCTAAACCTTAGGTTGACTGTCGTTCCGAAGAGTTGTATACTAAACCCTAGCATGTAAAACAGTTGTGTTTTTGATATTCCCTAAAAGGGTTGTATTGCAGTTTATAAAAACTATTTTTATTGGTACTCAAAATCTTGTTTCAGAATGAACATAATCTTCAAACACAATATACTCACGCTCTTAGTGGTGTGTTTTGTTACATTTTGTTAAAACTGGACACAACATATCAGTCTTTAAATACAATAACAAAACGTTTAAAGCACAGAATTGAAACTTATTGTTCAAAGCTACTGAGTTGTTATATTATATTCCAATCACTAACTTCTTACACCAAGTTATCATATATTTCGGTTTTCGCTTATAATATATTATTTCCAATCTTAACTGGCATATGGAATGAAACACAAGTGAGTAATACGTCAATTACGTAAAGATTTCCAGTTAACTGAAAATCTGCTAAAGTTCAAATGAACCTTGGTGCACTTGTTTACTTTTTCAACCTATCAAATAGTTCGCTGAGATGTACCATTAAAAAACAACCAATAATATTGCTTCATAGCGTCGAAAATCGTTTCGTCCGAAAAACAAACTATTATTGACAAATTTTCAACGTAACCGCACTGCCTTAAAAGTTAAAGAAGCAGTAAACAGTTGTTTGAACAACTTTAGAAAGAAATAAGAAAGCTAAATCAATAATACAAAAGCTAAGTGTTCCGATTCAGACATGGTGAGTTTTAATTAGGGCAACTAAAATTGGCCTTTGAACTTAAGAGACTCAAGCTTTAAGCTGTTTTCATGTCCACGAGACCGATAGAAGTACATGGTTAAGATCTCAAAGTATTCTATGTAACAGAAGATAAGATAAAACAAAGGTAGCCCCACCTTACAACCCTCGCATGACGTCACTCCGTAATGATAACCGGAAGCCTTGTCTCCACACACTTTACAGGGAATAAAGGATTTTGAAGAAGAGGTACTATTGGAGTCAGCGATGGCTAAGCTTTGATCTGAAAAAAAAGAGAGAAATACACAGACATATTTATATATAGACGGTAAATATAAGAATCTTTTTATTTCATACTCTCAGAAACTTAAATCCATCTTAAATCACAGTCCTTATTATTATATTATTTACAAGCGGAAAAAAATAATTAACAGTTGTCAAAACTCGACCAATGGAAAACAGCTCATCATACTTATACAGCTAGCGAACACTAGACGGTTGACAATATTTATAGAGGTAGCTGACATTATAT